TATCTGTTATTCCTTTTGCATTAATGACAATTAAGAGGGTGAGGTATTAACTGTCTTTTCACTATCATCTAAATTACAGTGTTGTAATAAGATTGCTTTCTATCTACCCTGAGGGATGAGATCATTCTATGAAAGCAGTAGATTTTATTAGAAGTATTGAAACAGAGGAAATGAGACTGGTAATTTTGGAGTTCTGGCTGCTTGGGAGGACTGGGAGCAGTGTTTTGGATAGCCACAGGGCAACAAGGTGGCACTGGGTAGGAGAACAAGAAAATGGGGTTCTAAGAGGCTCAGAAGAAGGATGGAAAGACACAAATAACAATTTGCAAATCTTAGGGGAGGGGAAGGACCCTGATTTTTCCTTTCTTGCCAGAGACAAAATGAAATGCAACCTTATAAAATCAGGAGATAGGATAGAAATAGCTAGTACAATAATAATAGTCATAATAATAAAGCATGTGCCTTGTGCTTTATTCACATTTAATCCTCATAACAACCCAAAGAGACAGACACTATTATCTCCAGTTTACAGGTGAGACAGGTGCTGTTAGCCTAGTGTTGGGTCTGCAGAGTTTGGGGTTGCAGGTCAGAGAGGACAGGGACATGAAGCAGTCTCCTTTCTAGCTGAAAGCCTTCCACCTCCCATCCTGAGGTGTTTGGCCTGGGAAGCAGAGGCAAACACGATTGGGCAGGTGGTGGTGGTTTTGGTCACATGTAGTATACATGCCTTCTGCTGGGGGAGGGGAAAGAGGAACATTACCTGACATCACCCATGAGAGGATGTGAATATCCCCCACAGCTGTGGTCTGTCTATAGACTTGGATTTTAAAGTAGGAAGGAACAGTCACCGTGTAGATTCTGAACTTGGAGTCAGAAAACTCAGGTCAGATCTCACTGGATAACCTTAAGCAGGTCAATCCGTCTATCTGGGCTGCACTTTCTTCAATTATAAAATGAAGGTGTTGGACTCAAGTTAAATCTCTAAGGTCCCTTCCAGCTCAAAAACTGTATAATTTGCGAACCTGGTGGTTGAATGTGACAAATTATGATCTCTCTCTCTCCCACTGCATATGTTCCAGAGCGTGGTATTTTGGGTATAAATATGCCAATGTCTGCTGTCTTTATGTGTGTGTATTCCAGCTATATGACTAAAACTTTAGTTGTTTGTGGGTAAACAAGGGATGCTTCTTGGTTTTCTCCATGAGAGACCAAATGGCTCTGGGTGGTAGTAAGCGAAACAATCACTGACTCAAGGTATGATGGGAGGGCAAATGATCCAAGAAATGGTTTTAGTCTGTAATCATTCTTTGGCAGTTATTTTTGGTTTTTTATTTTCATTCTTTTAAAAACCAAATCCAATTAAGTCTTGACATCAACCCTGTGAAATGGCACAGGTTTTTTATAGAAGCAGAAAAATAGACACAGAGATGAAATGATTTGTCTAAGATCACACAGCCTGTGAGGGCCAGAGCCAGAGCTAAGATCTAGGGCTTCTGACCCTGGCTTGTGTGTTCTTCCTAGGACTGAGCCGGGTGTGAGAAGAGACCCCAGGCATAGAACACTCAGTCAAAGAGGTTCTGGTTTCTAGGTAAAGGCAAAGAGGAGAGCCACTGGCCAAAGAAGGCCAGGCCGACTGGGCCACGCTACTCCCATCTCTGCAGTTTCCTGGCTGAAGTGACATTCTATTCAGAACAGAGCCTCACAAGACTTACAGATAATGGCTATTTCAAGAGCTATGAACTGTGATTAGTCAGAATGTCAGAGGGCCATGATAAGAAGTGAAAACATTCTGTAGCCTCTGGCAAGATGCGAAAGGTGTTTACTAACTCTTCTCAGAACCGAATTTGCCTTCTTTCTCAGGGCTCACCTCTATGAAGCAGGGATGCGATTTCCTCTCGGGTTGTTATGAGGATCCAAGGAGATAATTAGGTAAGAGCATCTTAGAAAAGCCTCACTCACTTTTGCCTGTTCATTCAACCAACCAACATTTATTGAACACAAGAAGTGTGTTAGGAACTGGAGGGAATACTAAGACAAATAAGAAACAGGGAGTTCAGAATCACGTTATTATCTCCCCTCTTGCCTTCTTTCTGTATCATGGTTTCTTCTTGTCTAGGACCATATGAGGGAAGATGGGCCCTGTAGTCTTGTCCAATTCCCTAGCTAAGTGCTTCTGTCCCAGGGAATTCTGAGCCCAACCTCCAGGTTACATTGGATCAGGAGAGTGCCCTCAGCTATAGCTCATTCAACAAATCATTCATTCACTTACGTGAGCCAGGCATGGCTCTAGGTGCTGGGGATACAAGGTCCCTGCCCTCATGGAGCTGTCACCTGGGGAAGGCAGCTTTTTTTTTTTTTTTTTGAGACAGAGTCTCACTCTATTGCCCAGGCTGGAGTGTAGTGGCATGATCTCGGCTCACTGCAACCTCCACCTCCCAGGTTCAAGTGATTCTCCTGCCTCAGCCTCCTGAGTAGCTGGGATTACAGGCACGCACCACCACACCCAGCTAATTTTTGTATTTTTAGTAGAGACGGGGTTTCACCATGTTGGCCAGGCTGGTGTCGAACTCCTGACCTTGTGACCCACCTCTGTGCCTGGCTAACAGCAGCTTTTAAATCAATATGCAAATAAATATATGTTCACCAGCTGGGCATGGCGGCTTATGCCTGTAATCCCTGCAATAAGGCAGGCAGATCACTTGAGCTCAGGAGTTCAAGACCAGCCTGGGCAACATGATGAAACCCTGCCTCTACCAAAACTATGAAAATTAGCTGGACATGGGAGTGCATGCCTTTAGTCCCAGCTACTTGGGAGGCTGAGGTAGGAAGATGGCTTGAGCCCAGGAAGTTGAGGCTACTGAGCTGTGATTGTGTCACTGCACTCCAGACTAAGACCCGGTCTTAAAAAAAAAAAAAAATTATATATATATATAGAGAGGTGGTAAGGAGAGAGGAGTAGAACCCAGTTTAGAAGGCCTTCCTGAGGAGGCCTGAAGCTGAGATCCCTGAAGGATGAGAGGTTAAGCCCTCCAGGCAGAGGGAACAACATGGTCAAAGGCTCTTGAAATGGGAGGAAACACAATGTTTTCAAATAACTAACAGGAAAGAGGAAAGTGGTGGAGCAGAGCCCAGAGCAAGCAGGACAGTGGTTCCAGAAAAGATTGGAGAGGCAGGGGCAGGACCATGCTGGGTCTTACAGACTGAGGCAAGGAATTCGTTACGAGTGTACCTCTAATGCCTTCTGCTCTCTCTACCCAGTGCTGGGGAAGAAATGCGCTGGTTTGTTCTGCTAGTTCTGTCCTCCCATGATAGTCATGAAAGCTGGGGGGTTAAAGAAATTTGGCATGAGACAAACCACCAAAAAAATTATCAGCTTCAGCTTCTTTTTAGGTGAGTAACCTCTATGGACTGGGTGGGTGATGCAAAGGTCTTCATCCCCTCTCCCAGCACTGATCACAGGCCTACAGAAATAAATTCATTAATTCAGCAGTCATCATGTCTGCTGCAGATGGACTCCTTAGTTCATTTGCTTAGATGGTTCTTGAGATGGAATACTGATTTACTACTTAAAACCTTCAAGGGGGCCGGCGCAATGGCTTACGCCTATAATCCCAGCACTTTGGGAGGCCAAGGCGGGAAGATCGCTGAGGTCAGGAGTTCGAAACCAGCCTGGCCAACATGGTGAAACCCCGTCTCTACTAAAAATACAAAAAAATTAGCCAGGCATGGTGGCGCACGCCTGTAATCCCAGCTACTTGGAAGGCTGAAGCAGGAGGCTCACTTGAATCTGGAAGGCAGAGGTTCCAGTGAGCTGACATTGCGCCACTGCACTCCAACCTGGGTGACAGAGTGAGACTCCAGAAAAAAAAAAAAAAAAAAAAACACCTATAAGGGGAGGGAAATGTGCACAAATAACTGTAATAAAAGGAAGACAGTGATAAAAAGCTACAAAAGGGTTAACAGATAAGCATTTTCCAACTAATAAAGCTTTTTCTACTACATGTTACAGGAGCCATTCAGTGCTATTGTAAAGAAACCCAGCACTACAAAGTAGTAAATTATAAGTGATGTAAACATTACCTCCTGTAGAAACTCATGGGAAGGGAGGCCAGGTAGAGGCATGCTCCCACACCTGCAGGTGGGCATACAAATCCTCCTTCTGCTACCTTTCCGGAAGAAATTTAGCAATAGAGATCAACAGCGTAAAAAAGAAAAAAAAAAAAAACATTTCGATCCAATAATTCCACTTCCAAGAATGTATCCTTAGGAAAAAAATAGAGATTTGTTCAAGGATTTCTGTTGAATTTTCCTCATAAGGTTATTACACTATCAAATAGAAATAATTGAAACATCCAAGTTGGGTTACATTATGGGACATGCTCATAATGGCATCATATTTAACTTAAGTTTTTGAAGCACGGTAGTGACTTTTGGAAAAGGCTCAAGACATCGTTTTAATGAGATGTGCAAACTCATCATTCCAATATAGTAGAAGAAATGCTTTGACAAACTAAGTGGGAACAACTGGGAGAGTGAAGGATGGAGTATCAGGAACAGGGGCATACGAGTTGGGTCTTACAGGTTGTGGAGGTGTTTCCAGGTGGAAGGGAAGGAGGGACCGAGCAGAGAGCCCTAAGTCCTGAGGACAACTGGGAAGGTAACACACCTCTTGAGAAGGGCATGCAGCAGCCATACCTCTCATCCGCCACGGTCAGCAAACCCATTGTGTTTCCTGGAGTGAGTTGGGCCATCAAGATGGGTGGTGCCCTCCTGCTGGAGAAGAGGGGCTCGGCGGGAATCCCTGCCCCAAAGCCTGGCAGCAACACTCCTCCGCTGCCCTGGGCCGCAGGCTGCTGAGTCCTCTCGCTTTCCTGCGCGCGAAATAAGTCCCAGGGCCAGTGTGGCCTCCCCACCCAGTGCTTCCGGGGGCGCCAAAAAACTACCTGCTCTGACCCGCAGCGTCGGCGCTGCGCGCAAGCGCAGTCAGCTACTGGACCCGGCCGGTGTGAAGTTTCACACCCAAGAGGATGAAGGGCACCTACCTGGCTTAACAGAACGACTCCCAGGTAAAGGGCCAGACCCGGGTGAGGAGTCGGCACAGGGCCAGAGGTGCCCTGCACACTCAGAGCTCTCCCTTTGAGCTCCTTGCCTTGCTTGGTTCTCCTGGGCCGCAGGCCTCTACCCTGCGCTCTGGGGTTCTGCTGCCTCTTCCTTGCCAGGTCTTTCCCACAGCAACGCCTTTTCTCTTCCTTCTCGAGCCCCTGAGTCCTCTTCCTCCTCTCCCCAGTGCCTCACCTCTGAGGGACAGAAGTGGGGTGGTTTGAGAGCAGGAGACTGAAGGGAAGAAGCAAGTCCGGGCCTAGCTGCAAGCACTCCCCGCCCCCGCCAGGCTCTTGGACACTTGACTTCTGTTAGGCCGCACACGGTTTGGTCTGAAGTGTTTTTCTCTTAATAGTTGTGGATCAGCCAGGCTCGGTGGCTCACGCCTGTAATCTCAGCACTTTGGGAGGCTGAGGTGGGTGGATCACCTGAGGTCAGGAGTTCAAGAACAGCCTGACCAACATGGTGAAACTCTGACTCTACTAAAAATACAGAAAATTAGCCGGGCGTGGTGGCGGGTGCCTGTAAGCCCAGCTACTCGGGAGGCTGAGGCAGGAGAATCGCTTGAATCCAGGAGGCAGAGGTTGCAGTGAGCCCAGATCACGCCATTACACTCCGGCCTGGGCGACAAGAGCAAAAAACTCTGTCAAAAAAAAAAAGAAGTTGTGGATCTTTCTGATTCCTGATCCAATCTGTTCAGGCTGGGGCCGCCCTGGTCTTTCAAACCCGGCAGTGAGCTTGGACAGACCCAGAGGTGTTTACTCCAGGTAGTAGAAGCGCTAGACAAAATCAGGCTCTTTTCCTGGTTTAGACCTCTCCTAGCTTACAGCACCTTAGGATGTGGGATGTCTGGAGGTCTGTGTAGCTGGAGGACGCTGGGAAATGTGAGGAGAAGATGTTTCCTCCTTAAAATCTGAATGTTTCTGATCACCTGAATTCTCCTGCTAGCCACAGATCCCACTCACTGTTATCTTATCCTTGTCCTTCTGTCATCATTTACCTGCCTAATCCCTGAAGGTAGTGAGTTTCCTGTTACTGGAAGTGCACTTTTCCGGGCCCTTACTTGTAGAAGTTCTCACAGATGCGGCTTCTCCTCTGGCTCAGATCATGTCTACCATGAACGAAGCAGCCCACCGGCTGTCCAAAAGTGGGACGAGCCTCTATGCAGTGCTGGAGCTTAAGAAGGGTGCCTCACCTGAAGACGTCAAAAAATCCTACAGGTTCAGACCTCAGTCCTTTACTGATCCTTGGAATTTCCCCCTTAAAGCCTTTTTCTTTCTGTATCTGTTTTGCTATCTGACTCTTCTTCTTTTTTTTTTTTTTTTGAGAGAAAGTCTCACCCCGTCCCAAAGCAGAGACAGAGACTGTTGAGCCTTCTGAGAAGCTGGGACTACAGGCGTGCACCACCACGCCTGGCTAATTTTTGTATTTTTAGTAGAGACAAGGTTTTGCCATGTTGGCCAGGCTGTTCTCAAACTCCTGACCTCAGGTGATCTACCCGCCTCGGCCTCCCAAAGTGCTGGGATTACAGGCGTGAACCACTGTGCCCGGCCTACGACCCTTTTTTTGTTTGTTTGTTTGTTTGGAGACAGAGTCTCGCTCTGTTGCCCAAGCTGTAGTGCAGTGGTGCAGTCTTGGCTCACTGCAACCTCCGCCTTCCTGGTTCAAGTGATTCTCCTGCCTCAACCTCCCAAGTAACTGGGATTACAGGTGCCTGCCACCACGCCTAGCTAATTTTTTGTATTTTTGGTAGAGACAGGGTTTCACCATGTTGGCCAGGCTGGTCTCAAACTCCTGTCCTCATGATCCACTCACCTCAGCCTCCCAAAGCGCTGGGATTACAGGTGTGAGCCAATGCGCCTGGCCCTATGACCCATTTTTAAGTTCCAACAAGCCCTCACTTTAGGGCCAAATGGGGCCATCACCCTCTTCATTATAGTATGGGAAGGAGTTTAAACCTTGGATGCTTGCCTCCATCCTTGTACCACATCTCATGCATTCCTTCTGCACTCTCTAGAGACTAATCCCTGTCATTCATCCTAAGCCTTCTTCCCCAGCCATTCCCCATTGCTTCCCCACCCTCCTTTTGGGTATCGCCTGGGTAGGAAACTGGCCTTGCAGTATCATCCCGACAAGAATCCAGGGAATACTCAAGCAGCAGAAATATTCAAAGAGATCAACGCAGCTCATGCCATACTGAGCGACCCTAAGAAGCGGAAAATTTACGACCAGCATGGCTCATTGGGAATATATCTGTATGATCACTTTGGTGAAGAAGGCGTCAGATACTATTTTATTCTGAATAGTTGTTGGTTCAAGGTACACAATTCTCTAGGTCCCTTAAGAATAAGGAAAGAAGGGTGACCTTCCTCTCCTTATGACAAATGCTTCTGTTGTCTCATTTTCTGGGTACCAGGAGGATTGAGGGAGGGAAGCTTGAGCAGTCATATAGAAAACTGCTGGACTGAGGCCATTCTCGCCTACCTTTTAGACACTTGTCATCCTGTGTACACTGCTCACTTGTTGCTGTTTCTGTTGTTGCTGCTGTTTTTGCTGCGGAACACTTAAACCACCACCTGAGCAGGATAGTGGGAGAAAATATCAGCAGAACGTCCAGAGTCAGCCTCCAAGGTCAGGTGAGAACTGTAAGCAGGGGCTGTGAGGTAAGAAATGCCTGGATTGGGAATGAAAGAAATGATTGGGGTCAGGTGTGTTGGCTCATGCCTGTAATCCCAGCACTTTGGGAGGGCGAGGCGGATTACCTGAGGTCAGGAGTTTGAGACCAGCCTGGTCAACATGGAAAAACCCTGTCTCTACTAAAAATACAAAAATTAGCTGGGCATGGTGGCACCTGCCTGTAGTCCCAGCTACTTGGGAGGCTGAGGCAGGAAAATCGCTTGAACCTGGGAGGCAGAGGTTGCAGTGAGCCGAGATTGCACCGCTGCACTCCAGCCTGGGTGACAGAGCAAGACTCCATCTCAAAAAAAAAAACAAGAAAGAAAGAAAAGAAAGAGTCTGGGCACAGTGGCTCAAACCTGTAATCCCAGCAGTTTGGGAGGCTGAGGCAGGCGGATCACTAGGTCAGGAGGTTGAGACCAGCCTGACCAACATGGTGAAACCCTGTCTCTACTAAAAAATTAGCTGGGTGTGGTGGCGGGTGCCTGTAAACCCAGCTACTTAGGAGGCTGAGGCAGAAGAATTGCTTAAACCCAGGAGGCAGAAGTTGCAGTGAGCCAAGATCGTGCCACTGCACTCTAGCCTGGGTGACAGGGTGACAGAGTGAGACTCTGTCTCAAAAAAAAAAAAGAAAGAAAGAAAGAAAGAAAGAAATGGTTGGGGGTGAGAAAGACCTGTGAAAATGGCAGGTTAACCCCTAAATATGACAATTTCAAGTCTGGCACTGGGACAAAGTGAAGAAAAAAAAAGATCGATACGTTTCTGTTCACCTTACATGACTGACTGACAGTTTGAATGTAGTGTCAGCTCCTGTTAAGCTAAGGAATGGGGTGGGAGAGTGCGTCTAGAAAGAACAGTAGGTGAAGACAGATTTGAGGATGCAATGTTTGTTGTTGTGGTTTAGTTGTTGGTGGTAGCGTTGTTGTTGAGACGTAGTCTCAGTCTGTCATCCAGGCTGGAGTGCAGTGGCACCATCTCAGCTCATTGCAACTTCCCCTCCCGGGTTTAAGCGATTCTCCTGCCTCAGCCTCCCAAGTAGCTGGGATTACAGCGGGGGTGTCAGATGTGTGCCACCGATGCCTGGCTAATTTTTTATTTTTAGTAGAGTCGGGGTTTCGCCATGTTGGCCAGGTGCGCTCCAATCCCTGACCTCAGTGATCCACCTGCCTTGGCTTCCAAGTGCTGGGATTATAGGCGTGAGCCACTGTGCCTGGCGGGGATGCATTTTTTCCATCTACTCAAAGGAAAGGGCCAGTTGCAGTGGCTTGTGCTGTAATCCAGCACTTTGCGAATCCAAGGTGGGCAGATCACTTGAGCTCAGAAGTTTTGAGACCAGCCTTGGCAACATCATGAACACAGTTCTACAAAAAAAAAAAAAGTCAGCGGGCATGGTGGTGCACACCTGTAGTCTCAGCTACTGGGGAGGCTGTGAGGTGGGAGGATCACTTGAGTCCGGGAGGTTGAGGGTTGAGGAGGTT